AGGGACACAGCAAACCATTTAACGTAATGTGTAGTTCAGCCAGTATATTCATCCAGGGAAGTCTCTCAACTCCCAACTTCCAATCTATGTATTTTCTGGCTATTACAGTTCTTATTGTGCCTGTCCAACCTTTGCTCTGTGTTTATTGCTTCTCCTCAAGTCACTTTCTGATTTCATTTTGAGTCTCAGATGCCTTTTAAGAGTTGTGTGTTTATGGGATGCTTTTACTTGTTGGCTGTGTTTAACTGGCTTGGTCTGTATACAGGAGATACAAACTAATTCTGATATTAGTTTGTCAAATAAAATTAAATCTGTCACCACTGCATAAAGAATGTAGTGAATCTAAAATTGAAGCAAGAATTGTTTTTGGGTTATTTGTTGTTTACAATTGGCTTCCTCAGTGATTTTTAGCCCAGAAAAAAACCCTGAAGTTGGTTTCTTTAGGTGTGCAAACTTTACATTCAGGTTTATTTCAGGTGGAACTTAGCTTTTCTTAGAGGAAGGTGATTCACTCATGGGGAATTTTAAATGGCTAAGTAAGGAAGAGAGATTTGTTTTGCAGAGGTTCATAAGTTTTTACCAGTCTCTATTCTGCCAAGATTCATTTTTATTCCTTCACAACCCCTTATAAGTTAAATCTTCATAATAACTCTGGTTAATAAATGAAAATTCTCAAGAGTTACCAATGTATGTGTTTAGGATGAATAGAAAAGAAGCTATCCATGAAGCAAAAGGGAGAATTTATTTTTCCTTAGATTGTACTGATTCTAGTATAGTAGTCATTTATATTGCTAGTAAAAAGAGTATTGAGTATTTGACATTTTTCTACTTTTAGAAAATTAAGACAATTTTTGTCTATATTTAAAATCAGCAGCCATGAAAGGTGACTTTCAAGCATATGTCAGAGAAATAGAAAAAAATTTTTGAGGAAGATTCTTATGAACTAAGTTAAAAACTTGCATACCTTACATCACTTCAGTCTACATGAACTTAAGGCAAATACCATGCTTCACAATGTTGGACTTGTTTGTTTCATTAACTTGCTGGGTAAATTTGCCATCTCATGTTTCTTGATTCTAGAGCATTGTTTAAATTATGTGGAAAAATCCATAATTTGTTAACCCATCCTGCACTTTGTAAGTCACATGATTTAAGCATTTATTGTATGTTGTCTATCAGAAATATGTTTTAGAGATACAAAAAGTGAACAGAATCCTGTCATTGTCCATTTGTCATCTAGGTCTAGAAGGAAAGAGACATGGAAGTTATTACAGCAACATTATTCATACTGTGATTTAAAAAATATATATGGATGGCGTGCTACTAGAACTCAGAGGAGGACTGACCTGTTTTTTTGGAGAGTAAAAGAGAGCTTTCCTGAAGAGAAATTTCAACTACAGTATGAATAGGAAGTTGATAGGTAGATGTGGAGAGAAAAAGTCCACGAAGTCCCATGCTGAGGATTTTTTATTCTATTATGGTGGTGCTGAGGAGCCATTGAAGGATTTTAAGGAGGGAAATAACTTTGAGCTATAATATTTACATTTTAGAAGAGTGACTGGTGTTAATGAAGGGCATATATAAGTTTCATATGTATTGAGGAGGAAGAATCGATTGGTCTTGATATTTGATGTGGTACTGATGGAGTGAGAGTCTTGCTTAATTAACTTATCTTTCCAAAGCAGGAGTTTGGAGATGGTGGTGCTATCTACAAGACTAGAAATGTAAGTGTGGGTTGGAAGGTAACAGGTAGAGGCAGTGTGAGTTTTTTTTGTGAAATAGCATATAAAATTGTCTAGCAGCCAGATGGAATCAGAGTTTGAAAGCTTCCTAGAGTGATGTGTGCTAGGGATGGAGGTGGAGGTATCAGATCATCTGTATATGAGGACATTTGATACTTCTGAAGTACATGAGATCACCTATTGGAAAATGTGTAGAATGAGAAACGAGGGCAAATGCCACCTTTCAGAAGAAAAGTTTTGGCCTTCTGATTTGATTTGTTCCTCCAAAATGGTTTCTTTTTCCTCTTAATATATAAATGAAATATATGATCCTTGTAGAAAACTTGTAAAATACAAAAATATATAAAAATGATAAGATTCGGGCCAGGGATTTCGCTCAGTGGTTCTGCTGCCTGCTTCGCAAGCACAAGGTCCTGAGTTCAATACCCGGTACCAAAAAAGAAAAAAAAAAAATGATAAGATTCACTCACAATTCAATTCTCATTCCCCAGGAATATCACCGTTAACATCTGGAAATGTATTTCAGGCTTTTTTCTGCGTGTGTATTTTCTGCACAATTGAGGTAACACTAGATAAACAACTTTGTATCTTTTTTTTCATATAGCATTACTTCAGGCTCAATTGTAGTGTCATCTTATGTCATAAATAATATTGCACTTAATGTTTCTATATAAGGATTATTTCTCCTTTCATTATTTAAAATCACAATTTATTTTTCTCAGCATGGGTTCCTAGAGGAAGAATAACTTAATTAAAAGGTGTGAGAAAACCTGAAATGTTACATTTTATCCAATTGTTTTTCAAATTAGTTGTATCTATTTCTTTTCCCACTGACAGACAGTTCTAACATTTAAGAATTTTTTTGGAGGAAGGTCAGTACAAGAAATAGTTGAACTAGAAAGTAATAATATGAGAAAAACAAAGGGAGAGAATGTCTAGAGAGAACCATCGGCAGTAGTGCATGCTGTAGAGCTAGTTTCACATAAACAAAGAATGGGTGAGTCCATTGAGCTTGGTAATAGGAAGCATTAACGATATACACTGAGCTGAGGAGTATATGAAATGGATCTGGTTTATTCCAGAATCTTAGCTGTGAAGGGGAGGAAAGAAAGGGCTATTTGGCAAAGGGGCTACAGATTTGATAGAAGGTATTGTGGTATTTGTTTTTAAGAATGGGTGAGTTTAAGGGTCGACTCAGTGGCACCGTGCCTGCCTTGCAAGCACAAGGTCATGAGTTTGATCCCCGATACCAAAAAAAAAAGAAAAAGGTGAGTTTAAGCACCCATTGGAATTGATAATCATAGAACAAGATCCTTGAGGAAGTAAAGGAGGATAGGATCCAGAGCTTTGGGGCCACCTCTTTTTTAGGGACTGGAAAAACTGTGCTCAGGAATGGGGGTGAATGCTGAAAGTTAGTTTTTGTGTAATACATTTTATTTTGCTCTATGAGACAGAAGACAAGACATGGGCTAAGAGTGAGGAGATTGTAGAAATTTTGGCTAAAGATGAGAGTTAGATTTACTTTTAGATTGTAGGTAACTATCAAGGACAAGTATGAGGATCACAAGCAATGCTGAAGGTCCTCCTGACATGGAAAGCCATAGATTTATAGTTTCCAATTTGTCAACTAAGGAGATCCCTGCCCTCACCCCTGTGGCACTGAGGATTAAATCTAGGGCCTTAGCATGCCAGGCAAGCATTCTACCACTGAACTACACCCCCAGCCCATTTAGATTTCTTTGATGGCTCTCTGCAGTTCAGATGCAGAAGAGAAGCAGAATAACTATTGGGTATCTGAAATTTTTTCAATTTAAAATTTTTCAATTTTGACTAACTTTAAAGTGAGCACATAAACAAGAAGAAAAGAACCAGAGATTGACTCTCATAGTCAATTGGTGATCGAGCCCTATCCAGGCCTTGATAGGACTCTTCCCTTCAGATTCATTAGTCCTAGTAGTTAAAGTTTAGAAAAGTTTGTATGACATCTCTTAGATAAGTGCAAAGCAAGGATGTATATCGATCTAATTGAAGGGGAGAAAGAAGCAGCATTTCTGTTACCTGTGCAAAGTTACTTAATGTTATTGAAAGTACAGTAATTGAATAGTCAGTGGAAGTGGTAGAGAAACAGTGAACAAGAAGGCAAAACAAAGCACTTACAAAAGCCACTTAGTTCGGGTACTTCTCAGATGTTTTATGTGGAAAACACTTAGGAAAAATGATATCAAATACAATTTTGTGTAAAAGTGAAATGGCTGCATTCTCCAGTGGTATATACAATGGGAAAAGAGTGGTACAGTAATTGAGAGCTGGTTTTTGTGGCATGTTGGAGGATGAGCAGTGGTCCATTTAAATATTAGTGGATGGGCCAGGGATTTAGCTCAGTGGTTTCTCCGCCTGCTACGCAAGTGCAAGGACCCGAGTTCAATCCCTGGTACCAAAAACAAAACAAAACAAAACAAAATAAATATTAGTGGATAATTATTATTTTTAAGAGAAAAGTTTGATTCTCTTAATATATTCTGAAGAAATGATGCTTTCTTTATCAAGCCCCCTATCATTTTTATCTTACATGGTTTGAGTGACATCAGTTTTCAGTGGATATAAATAACCATTCTTGGGAGCAGTAGCTTTTCAACTGGTTTGAAAGCCACTTGACAATGATGGAAAAAAATGTTACTTCCCAAAGGATTGCTGTAAGACTGATGATTTTTGTGCCAGTGGAAGGCCAGTTTCTACCACAAAAATTTTCCTGTAACCTTTCATGATTGAAAACATATTACTTGCTATTCAAAAACACAGCCAAATTAGTGAGGAGAGTTACTAAAATAACCCAAGGGTTAGACATGTAATTTGTGGATGACAAGTCATGATAGTAAAGTGTATTTCCCTCTGCGTTTTGTTTTAAATGGTAGCAGTGACATGAAACTCCACAATTCAGGCTTCAAACGTTTTCAAAGCTGTGAGATGGGCATACTTAATTTTTAAGGTACTGCCTGTTTCAAGTTGTACATATCTTACTATATAATGTTTATTTCCAACAATTGATTTCTTACATTATATGGTAACTGCCTTGGCATATAACAGTGTTAGAGAGCTTGACATAGTCTTTGAAATGGTCATCTAGTAGCCTCTTTATTACAGGGTTCATTTTTGTAAGGCATATACTTTTGTTTTTCTTTTCTTTTTTTTTTTTTTTTTTGGTACCGGGGATCGAACTCAATCCTTGCACTTGTGCCACAGGTGGCGAAACCACTGAGCTAAATCCCCGGCCCTGTAAAGCATATACTTTAAAGCACAAATATATGGAACAAGGGACTTCTGTTAGAACCATCCCAGCTACACAGCATGACGGTAAGGGTAAAGGATGGAGACTGGTTAGAGAGTAACTGTAGCAGTAGCTGAAGTTGGCCGTAGTAACTGCCTAATTCCACACTAAACAAGAGAGTGCTCTACTGTAAGGACGGAATCAGTTCTAGATCTAGCATAATCAGTGGAGAGCTAATGATGGAATGCCTAATTCTTCACACTAGTGACCTCTGCAACTTCCAAAACATTCATCCTCTTGGTCACTCTGAAACTTGACTACCACAGAATGACATATCTTCCCAAGGAAATGTAAGAAGAGAGGTGAATTGACTCTTTTTAGTAACTTTTCATTTTGATATAACTGAAAATTTCACCAGAGTTAACCCTCACATACATTTCCCCCAAATGCACCAGTTGTTTTGCTTTGTGACTCCCCCATCCTCCACCCAGAATTAACAGTTACGGATGCCATGCTTCTCCTACCCCCAGGACTTCAGTGTATACCAAGAGCAGTGAGTCTTACATGACCACAACATACTTGTTAAAAGCAGAACATTTTACACTGGGTTAGGTAATAGTATTGTATCATATTTAGATTTTGCAATTTGCCACCAGTAATATTTTTTATAGTATTTTTTCCTGGTCCAAGATTCTTATCATATCTCTTATCTCATTTAATCGAAAGGAATTAACTTTTAGGTGGAATGGCGGGGAATACATTTTTTCACTGCATGCATTGAATTCTTTCACTGAATGTGTGTTTATTTCAGCATCTTCTCTGAAACAGAATGACTGGAGACCTTATATAGCAGGTAACCTGTAGGAAATACTTGCACTTTATGGCTCTTCACTTAATACATTTTTCAGCAGATGGATTACTTTCTGTGTAGGCAACCATTGGTTCTTATTGAGTCTTTCTGTACTGCTTTGTGCTGAGTGCAATATTAAGCCTTCTTTGGTTCTTGTTAAGATGTAATCACTGCTGTTTTATCCTGATGGGATGTTTTTGTAAGTTCTTGGTGAAACGGTTCCAAAGTTCCAAAGTATGTTTGCAGCTTGTCTTTAGCTAAGGAAAAATGACAAGTGGCCACCATATTTCAGCTTAAGATCAGCAATTCAGTTTCTTTCCACTGAGCTATAATTGTTCCCTGAAGTATGAGAACAAAGTGGCATATGTGTGTGATTTCAAAGTCATTCATAACCTTCACTGTGTTTGTTCCATTGAAAATTGCATGACAGCTTTTGGTACTAATGTTTCATTTTGTAAAAGTTTGGCAGAATTCACCTTCTACTTCCAGTTCATTCCCACAAGATATGAAGAAATTCCAAATTGAGATTTTTCTTTAAAAACTCATGTCCTAGGGCTGGGGATTTAGCTCAGTAGTGCTGTGCCTGCTTCAAAAAGCACAAGGTTCTGAGTTTGATTCCCGGTAATCCCCCCCCCCAAAAAAGATTACTTTTGGGGGCTGAGGATTTAGCTCAGTGGTTCCGCCGCCTGCCTTGCAAGCAGGAAGTCCCGAGTTTGATCCCCGGTACTAACAAAAAAAAAAAAAAAAAAAAAGATTACTTTTGGGCCGGAGATTTAGCTCAGTGGTGCAGCCGCCTGCCCCACAAGTGCAAGGACCCGAATTCGATCCCCAGTACCAAAAAAAACCAACTGTACTGAAATCAATTATTTGATTGCATTTAGAACATGAGTTTTTAATGTGTATTTTTTGGTACCGGAGATCGAACTCGGGTCCTCATGCTTGCGCAGCAGGTGGCAAAATCACTGAGCTAAATCCCTGACCCCTTCAGGACAGTTTTTACAGGGTTATTTTGTTAATGTTATGATTCTATAAATTACAAAGATTAGAATTACATATAGTTACATATAGTGTTTTTATTCTGTTTTGGTTTTGGGGTTTTTTGGTACTGGGGATCAAATCCAGGACCTTTACACTGAATTACATCTCTAGCCCCTTTCTTTTTTCTTTTGAGACAGGGTCTTGCTAAGTCAATAGCTTGTCTAAGCTGGCCTCAAACTTGGACCCTCCTGCCTCGGCCTCCCAGAGTGCTGGGATTACAGGTGTGTGCTACCATACCTGGCTCTATTTTGTCTTCATTATTTAAATTTTTATAATTTTTTTGCTGCAAAATGATACAATGTTCTTCCCAAAGTGTACCTAGCTAATATGCTTTCTTAATATTTATATTTTCAGTCTCCTTCCCTTTTTATTTAATCATCTGAAAGCTTTTGATAGTTTTGTGCATAAAATGAACAACTTTTATGACTATCACTAGTGTAATTTTTACAAGAATATTCATAGTAAAATTTTAACATGTAAGGCACAGAATTTTTTCATCCCAAGATACATATAGACACTAACCTACAACCTGTATTAATAAATTTTGGTGACATGCTTTGCTCCTATTGCTCATTATTATGCTGACTAGCTATAACCATAGTAGTAAGGAGTGTGATTACAATGAGGTAGGTGCTGTATTCTGCTATTTTCATGTCAGAGGCCAAGACCAAAGTCACAGGAGGTGTTCCTCTAACAGCTAACTTCTTGTCTTTTTGCATTAGGCCCTAATTGCATCACAAGGCTGTTCCTGAACTCTTAGACACAGAGCCTATGTGGGGCAGGACAGACACCAAAATGCAATCTTATTTCTGTTAGGAAGGAGGAGAGTGTGAATAGGTTGAGGTAGGCCACCTGCAGAAGTCACTGTGCTGTGCTTCAGGCTGTTTTTGTGCCCCTCTCCCACTACTCAGTGTTCTCCAGCTACCCCAGGCACTTCTGTTACCAGAATTCAGCAGTTAATTCTTGTCACGTAGAGCAGGATCATCACATAATGTTTTCCTTTCTGTCAGGGAGGCAAAGCAAGGATTTAGAAAGCCACCAATGAATGGAAAATGTTATTGGAGGGAGACTCACACCATTTCTATGCCGATGGAAGTATTCTGTGTCTAGACTGTCCAGTACAGTAGCCATCAACCACATGTGGCTCTTGAGCCCTTGAAAAGTGGCTTTTATAACTGATGAACTTATTTCATTTTAGTTTATTTAAATTTAAATAGCCATGTGTGACTGGTGGCTGCCATCTTGGGCTATGCAGGCTAGGAGTGTCATTCTCCCATCTGAGACCCTGGACCTCTCTGTCCCTCCACCTCTTCTAACTCAGGCTGTTTGTCTTAGAAATGAGGGTTACACTTCCCCTAGCTTCCTCACAGCCTTGCATTTAGGAGCTCTTTGAAAATATAAAAGAACATTAGCAAAATTATGGCACTTGTCTTTTTCCATAGCAAAACTGGAAACACCCACATGATTAATGACCTCAATCTTGTTACTTCTTGTTACAAGGATAAACCTGGAGTCTATTAGGTATATAGGGAAAGGAAACAAAAATAATCCGTTATTGTTGTTACAGTATTGAAACTGAAACTTACTAGCTCTTAAAGAGGTTTCAAAGTGGAGTTGTTTCTGGTTCTTCGTTTGTATGTTTTTGTGGTGCTGGGGATTGAACCCAAAGCCTTCACACTAAGCTACATCCCCAGGGATTTTTAAAAAAAATTTTATTTTGAGATAGGGTCTCACCTAGGTCTTACCCAGGTTGGACTCAAACTTGCAGACCTCCCAGAATGCTGTGATTACAGGTATGTACCACTATGCCTGGCTTGACGATGGAGTTTGTAAATGAAAAAATAATTTTTTTTGGTACCAGGGATCGAACTCGGGACCTTGCGCTTGCGAGGCAGGTGGCAGAACCACTGAGCTAAACCCCTGGCCCAGTATATGATCTTTATTTAAAAAAAGGAGTCAAGACAGAAAAAGACCAAGAAGGGAAAGTAAAAGACACAATATCTCATCACCCAGAATAGCCATTATTAAATTAGCTTTCTAGATTTTTAACATATGGGTATAACTATTTTAAAACACAAATATGGACATATCTTGTTTAGCCTATATTTTTTTCATTAAAAATATACTGGCATTTTTACATATCAGTAAATATCTACTTATTAAATATAGATTTCTAATTACATAGTACAAATTTATAGGAAGTTCACAATTCAAGCTTTATAAGAATATAAAATGTATTAAAAAAAGGTATTCCAAAATTTACTGTCTCCTCATGACATTCTTGCTTGGTATTTATTTCTTTTATCTGTGTATATACTTATGTATTCATATTACTTTAAAATTTATTTCTATAAAAACTAGACCACAGTATACATTACTGTTCTCAAACATACTTTTTTCACTTAGCACATGTTTTATATGCAAATAATTATATATGTATATATATTCCATATACTGGAATATTCTGGAATATTTAACTGGTTGGTGACGTGATTTAAATTATTATTCAATTATTTTTCCAATAAAGATCACTGTTCTGATAAATATCCACCACATATATAGTCTTTTTTCTTAATATAGATTCCTATAAGTAAATTAAAAGGTCAAAATATATGTACTTTTTTATATTTAGTGCTAGATTGCCCTGTGGAAAAGTGACATTAATTCAGCCAGGAATGAGAGTGTCTTCCAAGTGAATATTGTCATATTTATTTGGAGGAGGAAAAATAATTTTACCATCATTAATGAATTTTTCTTCATGTTAATCCTAGATTGAAATGTGACTAAATGAGCCTATGTGTGTATATATGTGTCCTTAGGAAATAGTAGATCTGACATTTTGCCTGTAGTACCTTGATGAAACTCTGCCATTCCTTAGGTCCTGATTCCTGGATGTGTAAACAACTCCTTCCTCTCTTATGTCTCTCCCTTCTGTTCCCCTACAAGATAGAGGAACAGAAAACTTGGTGGCTTTGTGTTTCCTTGGTATACTACATAGAAAATATGATTTTATGACTAAAAAACATAAGGCTAGTAGACAGTACTAAGCATTCCATTTGATTCATTTAACATCCCATGACTAAATTGGTAGGTTATTGTGCAGCTTTAAATACATTTTATGTGGACATACACTCCACTTCCCCATTAGTCACAGGAGTTTGTTCTGTATGGGTACTCAGGGTGGCCTGTGAGCTTTAGAATAAGATGCTTGTCTGCTTTGGCTAAATGAGTTCTTTGTCAAGAGTATTTCCCAGGTGCAGGTATACACACACACACACACACACACACACACACACACACACGCATCTCCACACATACATTTTAAAAGTGGGATTTAAGAGTTTTAAAGAAAAATAGAAATTAGACAAATGACAGTATAACAGTATGGATTGAAAACCTGTGTAGTGAAAGAAATAGTAATTTGGGTTAAGAAGAATCTTGGGGCACTTTCTAACAGAAATTGGATATTTACCGGAATTTTGAAGGTGGTGAGATGTTGAAGTGTGAGTAGTAGTGGTGGGCAAGCACATTCTGAATGACAGTAGGGAGGAGGCATGTAAAACATAAGAGGAAGTTTGGGCACCTGAGGCATCTTGGAAGTGGCATGCAGCTTCGTCTGATAGAGGTAGATCATTTAGGCTGTGAGGCAGAATGCTGATAGTTGAGGCAGGGAGCACTGAAAGTTTATAAAGATAAAGATTGGAATAACTGAATATTTCTCATCAAGAAACTATCAGAAATCTCTTCAATCCAGCATGCAGCTATCTCTTAAGAGACCTAAGTGACCCCTGCCCACTGGGGCACTCCTGAAATTAACTGTTGGAGAAACCTTGCAGCCAGGCAGATTTATCATGCTTTACATCCCCTGTGCTCTTGGTTATCTCTCCAAATGCCACCTATTTTCTTGTTCTCATACTGCTTCCTGCCTCTTCTTTCTGTCCCAGGACCATCAAGCCAAGATCATTGTATCCTTGTCTTCTCTGCCTTAATCTGTAGTGTCCCACAGTCCTTCTTGGGAACTTGTCTCACCCAGTAAAACCTCATCACTTGACTTCTCAATCTTTTCTTCTAATTTGCTTCTATAGTTCCAATATTAGGGTTGCCAAGACTTGCTGGAGAAAATGATGGTACCGCACAGATGGGTCCCAATATGTGTACAGTTGCTAACCACACTGAGACCTTAAAATTGCCAGACATTCCTCCTATGCTTCCCTAGTCTGCCCTTTTTCTTACTTTGCCTAATGTCTCTTTTATGGTCTTTCCATTAATCTTATATTCCTATCCTGCCCCACCCTCCTGCATCACTCATCTGCTTCTCTGAGAAGTTGTGCAGGCCTGAACTCCTACTTCCTGCTGGTGCATCTAAAGACTATGTTCCTTCCAAGTACAGGAGGCACAATTTAAAATACAAACTTATCCTCCCTTTTGGTCACTGTTGATTGGTCAACAATCTCTAGCTGTGCGTAGGGCTAGAGAGCACACCTGTAATCTGAACACAAGTTAGGAAGCTTACTCTGCAGTGTTCTTGGAGGGCGCACCTGTAACTCACACCCAGGTGGGAAAGCTCTGTGCTGTATCTGGTTCCAGTTCTTTACGTGGCCCCAGCCTGGGTCCTGTGGGATGCCCATATGTCCTGTATACCAGTTCGTGCAGCTGCCTTCCTAATCTCCCCTGATGCCTGTCCTGTGTGTTCCAGTAACACCCTGGGGCCTAGACTGTAGTTATCTAATTATTTGTCTGTATACTGTGGTGTGCATGAGCTCCAGGAGAATAGGGAGTGCATCTATCTTTTCATCTTTGTGGCCTCAGTGCCTCAAGTGGAATAAACATCTCCTGAATGAAAGAATTATGTTCCGCCCACGTGAGGAGATTAACAAGAAAATTGCAACTGAAACAAGATCTTATATGTAAAAATTCTTCCTTTCTCAAGGAGACAACTTTGAATGGGAGCCCTGGAAGAGAAAGTGCATGAGAACTATGTCTTGTTGGCATTATCTACCTAGTAGTTTTGTCAGACCATCACATCTTTCCATTCCTTACATTTTGACTTGAATTAGATAGCTCAGTATTCATATTAGACAATGAGACTCAACCTGTTTTCAGAAAAACAAATCTCCTGTGGAAAAAATGCATTAAAAATCATGAGAATAAATGTAGTTCTATTAATATGGGCAGCTTCTTTGTTTTGTCCACCGGCAGCATTCTCTGTCCCTACTTGAGCATACTAGGAGGATTCGTGTCTTTCTTATAGGGTGAGGCTCCTCCTCCAGTCTCATTCATTCTTTCTTCCTCTTTACCTCTCATTTGCCAACTCTATTCCAGCTCAGAGTGTCCAGTTCCCAGCTTCACTTCAATAAATGTGTGAGAGAATCTGTACTGATGAATTGAAGCCACACACACTTACTACTTATTTAGGTTAACCCAGTTTTAAAGTATTTAAAAGCCAAGGGCTGGGGCTTTAGCTCAAAGTTAAAAATTTTTTAAAAAGAAATTCTTTTTTTTTTTGGTACTGGGGATCGAACTTGGGACCTTCCACTTTTGAAGTAGGCAGTGGAAAAAAAACAAAGAAATTCTTAACAGTACTGTTTAATGAACAGTTAACTCCAAACAACTCAATGTGTTTATGTCCTAATCTAGTTGTTTGAAAAAATAAATACTGAATGAAATAAAAAATAAAGTACTTAAAAGCCAGGCATGGTGATGCATGCAATAATCCCAACCCTCTGGAAGGCTAAAGCAGGAAGACCACAAGTTCGAGCTGAGCCTGGGCAACTTAGTGAGACCCTGAATATAAAATAAAAAATAAAAATGAAAAGAATTTGAGATGTAGCTCAGGGCAAAGGCCCTGGGTTCAATCCCTAGTACCACCACAACAAACAAATATAAAGCACTTAAAATTTCTGCCAGGCTCTTTTCCACTTCTTTGGTTCTTAGGCCACACTACTGTGCCTTATAGTTATTTTGGTAACTCTACAGCCTGCTTCGAATTATGGTTGTTTTTTAAATTCATTTCTTGGCTTTGGAAAAATAAGATTTTTTTCTTTCTTGTGACCCAAGTGTACTTCTACTTACTTTGTTTTAAACACTATCCATATGGCTCTCTCCAATAGATTACTGTACTTTCTTAGTTTAGGCTTAGTCCTTTTTTACTTTTGCTTCCCTTTGACTGTTGACATTTACATTTTAGCTCTAGCTGTTATGGTTCCCATCCTGCCTTTTTCCCTTTCAGTTTTTGTTTGTTTTGCTAATAACCATACATTATCTTTACAAAAATATGTGATGGAGATATGACTTAACAGCAGTTGTTTAAAAATCATAGAGAAGCTTGGTGTGGTGGCACTTGCTATAATCCCAGCAAACGGGAGGCTGAGGCAGGAGGACTGCTGTGGGTTTGAGGGCAGCCTGGGCTACATAATGAGTTCAAGTCCAGTCTGAATTACAGAGCAAGAACTTGTCTCAAAAAACCTAAAAAAAGAGGGGGGGGAAATTATACGTAATCAAGTTGTAATTCTTCACAAGTTAATTGAAACTGCATTTACAAATAAAATTACAATTGAATTGGAGTGGAATTAAATGTGTAGGAGGGAACTTGACTAATTTTAGAGTTAATCTGGAAAAATAAGTATGTGATGGTAACATAGTAAAGTTTGAAAAAGAACAGTGTTGAGTTAGAGTTTTAATCTTCCTCAAAGTCCTAACACTCCTTGGCTATACTCATGACTTCCTTTAACAAATTACTCTTCATCTTACAGCCAAGAAGTCCTTCTAAATGCATATTTGAACACTTTGCTCCTGGGTTACAGGATGTTCTGGCTTGCCTTGCCCTCAGGATGAAGTACAGAGTCATTTTTAAGGTCTTAGAGATGCAACACGACCCCACCCTTCTCTCACCTGAGCTCCCACCACACTTGCCTTCCCACTCTGGGCTGCAGTCAGAATAAATGTTCTCCCTCTCTTCTAGTGCCCCCTTGTCTTTCACTTCCAGATCTTTCAACACGCTGTTTCTTCTACTCAGCCATGGACAGCATGCCTTCCAGGAAGCTTTTCCTCATTCCTCAGGTCCTCTTTCGAGTCCCTTTTATACATTCCTTAGCTCCCTGTACTTTTGTCATACTTACCACACCATCATGTCGCCATCTAGTTATTTCTCTCCGTTTTCCCACTAGCCTGTAAGCATTGTAGAGCCAGGAACCAGGTATGTCTCCTTCACCATTTTATCCAGAGGATCCAACATGATGTAAGTACTCAGTAAATCTTGGTCAAATGAAGACATTATGATGCTATCACAAGAATAGGCAAACAGTCACATATGGTGGTGTACCCCTGTAATCCCAGATACTTGGGAGGCTGAGGCAGGAACATCACAAGTATGAGACCAGCCTGGGCAACTTAGCAAGACCCTGTCTGAAATAAAATAAAAGGGTGGGGCTGTAGCTCAGGCTTCCCGGGTTCAATGTTCAGTACTGGGGGGGGGGGGGGGGAGACAAATTGATGCAACTGTAAGAGCATCCTGGAAGTACACTAATTTTTTTTTTAAATGATGGATTGTAAATTTAAAAAGAGAAAGAATATTTATTTGATAAAGTTGATTGCCACAGCTGGTTTTCAGTTGGGAAAAAGATCAGGTTTAAGGGTGGTGGTTTAATGTAGTACTTCCCCAAAATAGATTGCTAAGGAATTAGATAAAAATTTTTAAAAAGTTGTAAGGAGATAGATATGAGTATTTATGAGGAAATACTGATCTTTATAGGGAATACTTTAAAGGGAGTGTTGTAGGGAAGAGACATTTCTAAGCTTAGATTTGATCACAGACTCAACTACATAAAAATTTAAAAAGCGCAAACCATACTGCACCTCAGGAAATGACTGCTATAAATATAAAATAACATTAAAATCTAGTAAAATATTATATGAAAAGAAAATCTCAATACTCAGAGTAAATGAAAAAACTCTTAAAGACCCCTTGATAAATGCACATATGCAAAATGAACAATTTATAAAAGTAAAAATATAATTTTCCTAGTAATCACTGAACTAAACATTAAAATAATAAAATACTGATTTTTCCCCCTATTAGAATGATAACGAATTTTTTAAAAAGCCAGAATCAATGAGAACATGGTGAGTGGATCTTCTCATGCATTGTTGGGTACCAGTACCAGTTGACAGGATTCTTTGAGAGGTAGCCCGTCTCTGCCTGTATCAATACCAAGTAGTTATTCTAGTTCTATGAATCTAGCTTAAGAAAAAAAAATTAGGTATAGGTAAAGCTTTGGGTTTGTCATCAAAGTGTTAAGTTACAGCAAAAATTAGAAACAGTCTATATATCTAATAGTATGAAAGTAATTAACAGTGTCATACATCTGATGAGCCACAGTTTTGGAAAAGATTTTTATAATACATATATCTGATGAAGGACTCATAGCCAGAACATATGAAGAACTCTCACCAATAAACCAAAACCCAAAGCCTGTTCGTTAAAAACAACAACAAAAGAGGCCAAGGATTTAACTCAGTGGTGCCATGCCTGCCTGGCAGGTGCAAGGTCCTAAGTTTGATCTCTGATACAGGGGGTGGCGGGTGGGGGTGGGAGAAACAACCCCAATAAAGAACCAAACAGGCCCTTTACAAAGAGGATAAACAAATAATCAATGAACATAAAGTCCACAATATCATTTCATATTAGGAAAATGGAAGCTAAAACCACAACTAGATAGTTTATACAATTATCAGAATGCCTGACATTAGAAAGACTGACAAAAATCAAATACTGGTGAGGATGTGAAGCAACTGGAACTCTTAAACAACTGCTGACAAGAGTATAAATTAATTCAATTACTTTGGAAAACTGTTTGGCAGAATCTCCTCTGGCTAAATTTATATTCACCCTATGGCCAGCATTTTTCCTCCTCATGATATACTCAGGAGAAAGAATTTGTGTGTCTACCCAAAGACTTAAACAGGAAAGCAACTCTATTCAGTGTAGCTAAAAGTTGAAATAACCCACATGTTCATAAACAGGAGAATGGATTAATAAATTGTGGTATATCCCTATGTAGAAGACTGGGAGGCATTAATAAAAGAACAAATTAGTGCTGTAAGAATGACTGTCACTGACATGGTGAACAAAGGCAGACAGATCAAAAGAGTAAACATTAGATGATGCTACTGATAACAGTAAAAGAACAGGCAGTGGGCCAGTGGTTATCTCTGGGTGGGGGAACTGAGTAAGAATAAACACAAAGGAACCCTCTGATGTGATGAAAATATCTTACATGGTGATCTATAGGGAAGTTACATATACACATATGTAATATAAAAGTCCAAATTTGTGTATATACATATATCCAAATTCTAACAAACAGTACACTTTTATATTCCAGGTTTTTTTAATTTTGGAAAAATAACGTGTTCTTGAGCAGGGAATTGGAGGGAACTTCAGAGGAGGTAACATTGGAGTATTGAATGGTTGGTTAATGAATATTTACCAAGTAGCCAGGCAGGGAATGGTATCTGGGGGAAGGGAGGGTGCCGCTGAGTTTGATGTACTACTTGTCAAGGTATGTTTGAGACCAGTTCATGCAGGACCTTGTATATCCTTTTTTAGACAATGGAAAGCTATTAAAGAAATTTAACCATTTATCAGTCCAATTATTTAAAGACAGGATGACCAAAAGTTGCATATTTTTTCATTAATTTTTATAAGATAATGACAGTTTTATCAAATTTATTCAGTACAAGAATCAACTGGTTGAAATGACACCTGCCCAAGTGACTCTCAGGACAGTCATTATGTAAACAAATGCACTGCTCCAGTGATGCTTGGGGTAAACTGATGAGTGTTTAAGAAAGGGAATAGCATTTATTTTGCCCTAGTGTGTGAGACACACAGCTGAGAGGATTGTTGACAGTATGCTACTTAAAAGAATACTGTAATTCTCAGGTGGCAGCTGATGAAGGTTGAGGGGGTGCGTGATAGTGCATTTAGAGTTGGACTGCACATTGGACATTCCTGAAGTTGACTAAAGAGGTCTTGATAACAAATTGCCTGATTGATTTAGAAAGCAAGGAAGAAAGAATTGAGGATAATTTCCAGTTTGCTAGCTTGGGAAAACTGTCACTGATCTTGGCCAAACCTATGGGTACCTTTTGATCATGGCTGTAAGAGCACAGGAGCTGGACACCTTCATTTGACTCTTAAGCTCCCTGAGGGCTGGTACCCAATCTGCTTGTCACTGCTGTTTTTCCCAAGGATAATGAATTAATAACCTGCCATCCCTCCCAAAGTACCTACTGATTTGGTGACAATTCATGAACTTCTCTGTCCTGTACGTAATATTGATCAAGTTAAACAATATCAGATATTAAACTTTGGAGAAGGTCATTCATTTGTTCATTCAGCAGATGTTTTATCAGATGTCTAATACATGCCAGGCGGGAGCAGAGTGAATGAGGAGGAGAGTAGGTAGGACATGCAGCCAGAGCTGTGGGAGGATTGGAGTCAGAAAGGGTGGTGGAAAGATTTGACATTTTTCTGAATTGGGAAGCTGTCGGAGGGTTTGTGCAGAAGACTGACATGACGTGACTTACACATTAACAGAATCCATCTGGCTGCTGTTTTGACAACAAACTAACAGGGGAGGCCACAGCAGAGGCAGGGAGGCTGTTGAGGAAGCTGTGCAGTAATAACCCAAGTGACAGATGATGGTATGTGGTGAGAAGTCATCAGATTCTGGATGTATTTTAAAGATAAATATTGCTAGCACATCAGAGATGGGGAGTGGAAAACAGGAGCAGGTTCAGGGCAGTATCAGGAGCTCAGTTAAATGTCATGTTGGAAATGCTAAGGAGGCAGGTTGGATATATGATCCCGAGGAGCAGAACAGAAGCCCAGGCTGGAAATATAAATTTAATTCCGAGGGAACTTGTTGCTAGACACAGTTTATGATGTGAACACCCAAAACTCAAGGCAGGGCCATATACACACTATTTTAGAATCCTATAAAGGTCCTTTGAGAAAATTTTAGATTATGTTTTGCAGGCAGAAAAATACTTGGTCAAGTAAATTAGGCTCTTCTTAAGAGTTACTTGCATTTTAAAGGACAGTGAGTTCTTAAATCATGTACAGTATAACTTTGTGTGTATGTGGGGAGGTGCATATTGAGGATTGAACCCAGAGCCGTCACACTAAGCTACATTCCCAGCCCTTTTTTTTTTGAGACAGGATCTCAGTAAGATGCTAAGTTGCCTAAGCTGGGCTTGAACATATGATCCTCCTGCCTCAGCCTCCTGGAGTGCTGAGATTACAGGTGTGTGCCTCCATGCCCAGCATAACCTCTATTCTTTACATTTGCTTTTAGTTTAAAACACCATTGAGGTCTATCCTGGTGGGGCTTCTTCAGTAGTTGCACATCATTGGAAACACCTCATAAAGTAACTGTGGTTTTGCTTTACTCACAGGACCATTTCTTAGGTCTGAGGGAAGGAACTATAAGACAGCTAACAAAAAGTAAGACCTAACATTTTTTTAAAGCTTATGTATTAACATATCCCATAGGTCTGTACCATTCCTGAGTGATAACTTAGGAATGAATATGATTTAAAGTCATTCATGTTTAAAGAAGGTTGTCAGTAATTGAGAACCAGGCAGATCTATCTGCCTTAAAAGAGATCCTAAAGAGAATTACTTGAAGAAATTAGACCCAAAGATCCTTGGTGGAGAATTTTGAGGTTGTCATTACTGTGTCCATAATTCAGGTAGAGATAAAAGTAGTCCAAATTATAAAACCACGGGCTGATACGTGGATTAAGCATCAGTTACTTTTTTTTTTGATACCGGGGATTGAACTCGGGACCTTACGCTTTCAAGGCAGGCAGCGGAACCACTGAGCTAAATCCCTGGCCCCATCAGTTACTTTTAAAAAACAGACTATTTTGAAGATAAATCTTGAACTTCAGCCTTAGAAAAAATAAAATGACCTTGATGGTTATTAAAAGAATCAGAGCAGGTGAAATTCCTTAAATAAAATTTTATTGACTTAAAAATAAAACCTGCTTTTTTCTCCAGTCAGTAAAAATTAGTGAAACTGACCATTTTTCATGCAGCTGCCATTAAGTCTTCACATTCATTTCTTATCTTGGTTTGCTCTTCTCCTCAATGTGTGTTCACAGCCTGCAAGTTAATTTTAACAAATGCAAAATATATATTTAGGAAATAATGCAGAGTACACCAGACTTAATCTCTGATTTATGGAATAATAACTACACTTGATCTTAGCCAAAAGGCCAAGAAGCGATATATGGAATAATAACTATAAGAAGATTGGGAGCTATAAGTCATGTTTAACCTTTTTTATTGCTACACACTTCAAAATATATAACCACTGATACTTTCTTTAGTGTACCATTACTTTGAAAATTTGACTATTATTTATGTTGGTAAATAATTATAGAAAACAGCCATCTTGGTATAGTGATATAAAATGAAGATTTATTTATTATTGAAATCTTTTACCCTTTTAATGTTTATCCTCACATATATGATTTTTTTATTTTGGTACTGGGGATCGAACTCGGGATCTTGCGGTTGTGAGGCAGGCAGCGGCACCCTTGAGCTAAATCCCCGGCCCCAGCATACATGATTAATTACCATTTAGTAAGTGTATATTGTGGTGAGCATTTAGACATGTGTGGGAAATTGGGGGCAATTGTTTCAGACACCACCTGTCAAAGAAAAATATAGAGACTGAGTTGATGAAAGAATTTCATTCATTTTTCTAAGGAAGATTTATGGAAAGCCAATTATGCATTAGGCGTTTCATCTAATGGATATTAGATGTAAAAACAACAACAACAAAAAAAACAACAACTAAAGAGAGTCCTCCAGAGAGGATGTGGGCTGAGGGAAATAGAATCAAGAGTCACCTGGAAGTACTATCACTGGATTCCACTCAGCTCACATCATGGACTTAATTGTATCAACTAACATTCATGTAAGGTCTTTGTGTGAAGCATAGTTTAAGCACTTTATGTGAATTAACTCTGAACAGTACTACTAAAGTGGATACCCTAAATTATCTCCATTTTGCACCTGAGGAAACAGAGACAAAGAGAGGTGTAATTTGCTCAAGTTCAGGAAGCTTGGAATGGTAGAGGCAGAACTTGAACTGTGGTAGTTATGACTTTTTTGACTACTTCCTTCCTGCCAGGCTTTGTGCTAAATGCCTTTGTAACTTCACTTAGTGACTCTGTAACCCTACATAGAAGATAGTTGCCCCCACTTTATACATGATACTGCAGAAGCTTAGAGAGATGATTATCCCAAATCACACATCTAGTAAGTGGCTGAGCTGAGTTGAGGATTACCTTATCTCACCTGGAAAAAGCAAGGAGGTGGTGAAAAATGCCTTGCCCTTATGTGTAATGATAATGGCATCCTTGGTTACCCAGCTAGGCCAGCCATTCAAATTCCAGGAAAGGAAAGCAGCAGGTCACTGTGAACTTTAAATATTTGCTAAAGAATAATATGTAAACCCAAGTACTAAAACCCCAGTGTAAATTATTTTTAGTATGTAGAAGGCAATCCATTTGGAGCACAAATTGAGTTAATAAACACAATACTGTACAATATTTTTATTGTACACAATTCTTGTCATTGCCCTGTGTCACATCAGTGATTACATTGTGGTTTTTTTGGGGGGGCCTTGTTTATTCAAATTTACTTTGTAAGTGATTGTAAACCATCATTCCAAAAACAAATTAGTATAAACCTGGTGAACATGTTCTTCTTTCACAGATATTTTAATGGAATGACTAAGTCTTGCATTATTTGAAAACACTGCTTCAGCAGCTTGAGTTCTCCTAAGCAGAGTTCACAAATTAATAAGAACAAAAAAGAAGTAAATTCCATCTGTGAGGATTTACCTGGATGGCATTAGGAGAGGGTACTTTTCAGAGGTTTCCTGAAGTAAAGGCTCAACATGATCTAACATAGCAAAAATATAACAAAAATCTATTCTTCTTCCTCCAGGTAAATATCATTCACTTCAAAAATGTTATTCTCCTCAGCAGAATTTTGAAAGTATTTCTGATTAGTTTGGCATCCTGTCAAATTGCTGCTTAGTGGTATGACAATCTTTTTTTTTTTTTTTAATCTGAGACAATACGGGCCAGGGATTTGGCTCAGTGGTTTTGCCGCCTGCTGCGCAGGTGCAAGCTACCTGAGTTCAATCCCCAGTACCAAAAAAAAAAAAATCTGAGACAATATTTCTTGTGTCTGTTGACCACAGGTCACTAATATGTTTATACAAATTTCATCTTTCCTTTTTGCATTTATGTCCATTTTTTTAAAATCCTTTTTCCTGTGGAAAATCAGAAAATCTTGGAAAAAAAGAAAAAAATTATAATTCTTCCATTTAGTGATAACCATTCTTAAGATTTTGTGTTTAGCTACCCAGGCTTTATATATATATTTAGATAAATGTCCTCATGATTTCAAAAATAATGACTTTATATCACAAACAGTACAAAATATCTTTTATTATGTCCTTAATGTCTTTTTATGTCTCTGCAGCATTATTTTTCTGACTGCTTTTTTTCTGACTGCCAGGGATCGAACTCAGGACCTTGTGCTTGCGAGGCAGGCAGTGGAACCACTGAGCTAAATCCCTGGCTCTGCAGCATTATTTCTTTCAGCTTCATGTTCTGCTGTTCAGAGAATTACTTCTGCTTTCCCTCTTGTGGTCATCCTGAATTTGATTCAATGATAGCACCTCCTAGGGTAGTATGCTAATAACCAGTTTTAGTATTTTCCTTATATTCAATATAATGTTGTGATAAATGCCATTTTAAATGTCCTGCATATTGTCATTGGACAGAGACTTTAATGATAAATACCTTGATTTCATTTTCCAGCTTTCTCCAGTTACCCTTACCATCTAGAACACAGTTATGGTGAATAAAGTAAAATTTGCTTCAAGAAAGCTAAAATAAATATTGTAATCAATTCATAGAAGACAGCCTCAGGCCTTTAATTTTCTAACTGTAGACATGATTCTAGGGCTGAGCTTCAGTTACCTGGAAAAATTTTTTTTTTTTTTGGTACCGGGGATCGATCTCGGGTCCTTGAGCTTGCACAGCAGGCGGCGAAACCACTGAGCTAAACCCCCAGCCAGTTACCTGGAAAATTTGATGATCTGCTAGTTAAAATATCACTAACCTAAGCACAAGGTCCTAAGTTCAAGCCCCGGTACCCCCCCCCCCAAATCACTAATCTACTACATCAATTGTTTTCATCTGAGAAGAAATGTATGTTTATTTGATTAATGGAGAGGAGGATGGAGAGACGTTTCCTGTGACAGTTCCTATGCTAGGTACTTCTTGTTTCCACTTTACAGAAATCCCGCAAGACTTATATTCCAATGACTGTGTCTCTATTTCCTTACTTGTTTGAAGAACTAGACTCCCAGTCCTAGAAAGTAATACAGCCAGGGCACAGCCTCTAGCATGGGTGCAAAATGCATATTTCTAGGATTAATACGGAATATGTATATTTCAAAGTAGAAAAATAACTTTCGACTTGGCATAAATTTTACCCATCCATTTGAAAATGAGTGTGTCTGCTATATGGATAAAATCTGCTTCCCCCAAAGGTGGGGAAGGGTGAAAGCAGCCCGAGCACTCAGAATGGGCCTTATCTAATTTCTGTGCTCCAGTGCCGGGTTAGCTCCTTCTTGTTAGGCGACTGCTTTTTGCTACTATTTCAGGATCTCATCTCAAAAGTAAATGTTTTGTAGTTTATTTTGGCATGCACCATAGCATATTTTGTTTCCATCATTTCCATTTTTATTCCTAACTTATTTTCTCCTGTCCATGGAATTGTGGCAGTGCAGCTCAGTGACTGTTGTGAGCATTGGAGTCAGTCCCAAGGTTTGCCTTCGGACTTTGTCATTTAGTAATACCCTGGCTTTAGGGATGTTTACCCAACTTGTATGTGCCTCAGTTTCCATAGCAGCAAAACAGAAACATAATAATACAAAACTAACAACCAATAAAACAGAACAAAAGAGAAAAATGCACATAGAGTGTCACCTTGCCTCCTAGCACAAAGCAAGAACTCTAGGTAAGCTCTTCTACACTTTTAATGCTATTAAATGATTGATTCTGTGCACTGGCTTACATGGCGTTTTCCTTCCCTGTCTCCCCCCTCCTTGTCACCACACCCTCCCCCTACATGTGAGCACAGAATTAAAGCGAACATTGGAACGTGGCATAGCAGTCCCAAAAGGGGCCTCATTCTCTGGTTGATTTGTCCACACCTGCTTCCTGGCTTCTCCTTCTGATATAACTAGAGAATAAAAACAGAATCTGATTTACTTACCTAAAACAATTACCTCTTACTGCTGACTTTTCTCAAAAATAATCCCTGACATTAATAGTCAGGGGCTTCCACATTGGCTCTGGCCACTTGGGCCTTAACTTGGGAGTGTTTTCCAGTGTACTTTTTGCCTCCCTCAAGCTCAGTGGTTCCTTCTTTGCCCAGTATTTAGTGGTTTGTAGTCATGTGCTTTCACCAATGGTATGGTTCCAACTCAATAAGAGTTCATTCTTGATTCTTTATATTGTTACCCCTTTTTCCCTAGTGAAAATATGGCTTGTAAATAAGAGCAGGCATCATATTTTACCTGTAAGTCAGATTTCTGAAAATATCTGTCTGCTTAAAGAAGAGTGTGTTTTTTTAAAGCTTACTTTTTCCTCATTACTTTGGCATAAAAGACAATTCCTAGTGTACATAGTCATTGACCATCTGCTTTGTGGGCTGTAGATTCTAGAATTTGTCTTTAAACTTAGTGATGTCTTTTTTTCCCTGTTCGCGCACCGCCCCCCCGTCTCTCTCTCTCTCTCATCTCTGTCTGTCTCTCTCTTGCATTTGTGTATGGGTGTGCATACTGATTGACAAGATCAGAAGTTTTAAAATATAGAGAAGTTTTAAAAAACAATGAAATGCTTCCTATGTCTCTTGTAAAATATACATAATAAAATTTAGCATTTAAACCATTTTTCATAGCTCAGCACTTTAGTAGTATTGGTGCCTTCACAGTGTTGTGCAATCATTACTACTATCCATATGAAAAACTTTTTCATCATCCCAAACTGAAACTCTAGCTGGAGATTTAGCTCAGTGGTGCTGTGCATGCCTCACAAGTGCAAGGTCCTGAGCTCAATCCCAGGTACCAGAAAAAAACAAAAAAGTAAAGTCCAACAAAACTGGAATGCTGTACTCATTAAATAATAATTCCTCCCCCTCCCCCTGACTCCTGGTAACCACCATTCTACTTTCTGTCCCTACAAATTTGACTATTCTCTGTACCCCATATTAAGTGGAATTGTACAATATGATTCCCAACATGATTGTATCAGAATTTGGCAGGAAATCATGAAATGGCATGAGAAATATACAATCAAATATTGCACTTTTTCATATTTTCTCAAGATAATTTAATGTTCATCAGATTAGTTTACAGTTAGTACTGATTGTCTTCAGATATCAATTTTCACCATCAGGAGAACAGGAAATGTGGTTTCTGCAGTACTGTAAATCAGGGTAGGATTTTTGATGTGTGGGATCAGCTATATATAATACTTGGTATTCATTTTTATTAAATAACAGAAGTTTGAAGGGATATACATTTTTCTATAGATAACTTTTCAAGCTATAGATTTACTCATTTGGAACTGAATATTTAAGCTTCTGTTCTTTTTGGAACTATAGCTTAAGCTGGGTGCTGTAAGTAAAGCACCCCTATAAATTTTTCTCACAGGGCTGGGGATTTAGCTCAGTGGTTCCGCTGCCTGCCTTGCAAGCACAAGGTCCTGAGTTGGATCCCTGATACCAAAAAAAAAAAAATTGGGGCTGGGGATTTAGCTCAGTGGTTCCACTGCCTGCCTCGCAAGCACAAGGTCCTGAGTTCGATCCCTGGTACCAAAAAAAAAAAAATTTTTTTTTTCCTCACATATGTCTTAAAAGCATTTATTCATTCACATTAACAAAACTTTTATTGACTTCCTGTCTGGGCTTTGTGCTAACTGGGTGGGGAAGGGGATGTTTATTGCAGATAAGTGAACAGGCAAGTCCAATAAAGTGTGGTTGATTTCTGTGGAAGCGGAGGTGCGCACGGAATGCTTTGGGAGCATGTGGGAGGGGGCAGCTAACCAGCATTCAGGGAGGAGGAGAGAATGTATCATCAAGATCCCTAAAACACCTTAAAATTCTTGAAGTAATATATTCTCCCTAGAGTAGTCAACTCCCAGAATAAAGTAATAAAATAAATCCTCTCATAGCACTTTAACATCCTCTGTCATTTGCAAAATGAGTACTGTGTTAAGGAAGCAGTTAACTTCCATCACACCCAGCAATTAGAAATACCAATAGTTTCAAAACTCAGTGCATATGAGCATGTGATCTTACTTTAAGAAAAATCACTCTGAAATAGGAAATACCCAGTGTTGTAAAGTAATGTATCATGGACATTTTTGTTGGAATAGTATTTCATTTGGGTGAGAAAATGTGTACAAAGCTGAACAAGCTCAACAAGTACTTGTAATATCAAAAATTTTACATAAGTCACAGTTGAGATAAAAGGATATGTTGCTCCTTAGTTAAAACCCTCTAGTCTAAATTTTAAATTTTTCACTGCTTTTAATTTTAGTTTACTTTTTATCCTAATTTTTAATAGCTAAAATAAAAACATGTTAGTAACAGTCAAACAATCAGAAGTACATGAAGTGAAATTTTCTTCCCCTCTCCTCCACCAGTCCTACTCCCCAAAAGTAAACACTCAGAGTTCAGTGTGTCTCCTTCTGGAGGTGCATTTAGACAACCAACTACATAAGTGTACGAAGAGGAGGGAAGGAGGAAGAGGGGAGAGGAAAAGGGAGAATGATTGTGTGTGAAAATAATTTCAAATTAAAAAACAAAATGAGACTATACCATAACAATGTTCCATGTGTATCATGGTTTCTTTTCCATTTAATACAATATGTCCTTAACCTTTTTCCATGTGAGTATATTGAATTCTGCCCCACTCCAATGGCTGTATGATTTTTTCAGTTTGAATATAATTGCTCTCCTCCATCTATTGCTGATATTTGTGATAATTTGTTATTCTGCACATGCTTCAGTGAGTATCCTTCGTGTGTATTTTTACACATTTGGCTAGCTATCATTTCTGTAGGAAAGCTACCTACATTACAATTGTTGAGCCATTTGTGTGCGCACACACTCATCATTTTAATGCTCTTTGATATTTGGTACTAAATTGCTCTCTCAGATGCTTGTGTCCAATCTATTTAACCATGTCCCTTCAACATCAGATGTTGTGATAGTAAACAGCTTTGTTAATCTAGTAGACAAGAAATGGAATGTCACTATTTTATTATACATTCCTGGGTTATTAGTAAGGTAGAACATCTTTTCCTAGATATTTTAGCTATTTATATTCTCAAAATTTTGTCTTCATAGCCTTTCTATTATTTATTATATTCTTACTCTATATTCCTTTATAAATATTAGTCTTCTACTATAGAAGCTAGAAATATTTTTCATTTTGTCCTTTTCACTGTGTATGACTTTTGCCAAATAAAAGATTTAAATGTTTATATGGTCAAATCTGTCAGCTTTTCCTTTTATGGTTTTTGGATTTCATATCATGATTATAAAGACCCTTTACAAATCAAATGTTCACCTATCTATATTTTTCTATTATTTCTGTAGTTTTATTATATTAAATTGGGGATGCATTTGGAATTTATTTTTCTGTAACATACAAGGATAGAGATCTAATTTTAATTGAAAAATCTATCCTTTGATGATGATTTAGAAGTACAACTTTTATCACTTGCTTTTTGTTCGTGTAAGGGTCCCTGGGCTGACTGCCATTATATTTCTTGGTTATGAATTTGTCTTTTGGAGAGGCAGTTTTGTGTGGTGAGTTAGACCAGAGCACAGACTTGGGGAAAGAGGGCTTGGGTCTGACGTGAGCTATCACTCAATGGCTCTGTGACCTCAGGCAAAGATGCAGCCTACCTAAATCCCAATTTTGTCTTAAAATACTAGATTCTCTGTAATGGTCTTTTGAAAATCGAAAATGCTATAGTTAACATCAGGTCCTCAGAACGCTGTTTCATGCTTACTCAAAGCTCCATAATTGGTAGCATCATTACTATTCTGTTGGAAGTCTGAATGATTACAAGAATTTTTAGTAGAAACTAAAGGTGGCATATCCTGAAATAGAATGTGATCCTGCCCATAGATATGTACAGATGGCTTCCGTGAAAGGGGCGAAGGCAATTTGGTGGAGAAGGGGAATTTTTTGTAAAAGAACACATTTATATTTTTAATGACATCATAAGAGGGAATGTAAGCTTTATATATTTAATATATAGATTCATTAGTTCAGTTCGTGTCTCAGTCCTCTTGGTTCAGGTCACATGCTCCAGGGTTAAAAAATAAATGATAATAATAGAAGTACAGTGGTTCTTATTACCTTTTGAGAACATTTTGAGGAATCTAATGTGTGTGGACAGTCCCTGCAGAAAATTTCATATATATACACAAAACACATAAAATCCAGCTGAAAGTACCCAAGGTAGAGAATGACAGGGAGGGGGTGCCATGGCAGGTCACAGCCATTTGTCAGTCAGATGGAATGAAGAGCAGAAACTGTCATCAAAGCAGAGAACTGCTTTGTTAGGGCGGGGAAGGGACTGAGAGGAGAGACAGAGGCTGTGAGATGGCACTTCAGTTCCTGTTCCAGTAACTTCTACCTCAGGATTCCTGTGAGGTCCTACTTGTCTCTTTACAGCAAATGTTCCTAGACAGAACCAAGTTAGTGTAGCCTCCTGTCTTGCAACCAAACTAACCAAACCAGGAAGGAAAGAAAAAGATAAGCTGACCTATACATGTTGAAGAATTGTTGTGTCATTTCAGATCACTTGTAGCTAATATTATAAAATTTTCAATTAAAAGTTACAGCAATATGGGCTGGGGATTTAGCTCAGTGGTGCTGCCTCCTGCCACGCAAGTGCAAGGTCCTGAGTTCCATCCTCAGTACCGGAAAAAAAAAAAAAAGTTACAGCAACAGCAGGCACTTTCAGAATAAAGTGAATAACCAGCTGCAGTTATTTTTCATTGACCACTAACTTCCATATTTCTAGGTTGAACACTTTCCAGGCATGTCCTGTTATTTTTAATATTCCAGTTTAAGGGAAAGCAAGGAAGAAGTGACATCAAGTAGAGTTCCTTTTTACTCTTTAGAAGTTTCTAACTGAAAATGAGGTAGAACTTCAAAAGATACTATAGCAGGAAAGGATTTTAAAGATTTTCGAGTTCTACCACTTTCAGACATAAAGAGAGCTGGACCCAAGAATGGCCTACTCAGTCTCATTTGGTATTCACTATAATGCTATGTCAGTGATAGTGAACCTTTTCAAGTTTTCAATGATAACAAACAGCCGGCTACAGCACGTGTGTGCCATAGGTTTGCCACTGCAGCCCTATATGATACAATACCCTCAACTCACAGTTAACTCCTAACCCAAGATCAAAGATACAGCAAGGGATGGAACCAGAATCTGAACCAGGTCTTCGTGACTGTACAACAATGTTACAATGTTTCCTTGGCTTCCAAAACTGGGGCTAGAGAAAAGCGAGGCTTTTACTTTACCTTTCTTGATCTTTCAGCCTCTGTTTTAGAAAAGAAGCTGGAACCTTCAAGCGTCCCTTTTTGATCTTCGATCTAAACAGGTCTTGAATTATCAGTCTAGTATCTTCCTCCATAGCAGTGTAGTCTCAGCCAAGTACTGTAGATGTCTTCACACTGAGCTGGAGCTGCTGTTGGATATTCAGCCAGCCTTTCTTCCACACAGAGGCTTCACCTGGACCTCCCACTCGGGGGTGCTCCGGAGAATGGTCAGAGACTCCAGGGCAGGAGAGAGCCACAGTTTGAACATTAGCATAACAAATATTTGTTTACAGAGCTCTGCAGGATGGAAGGTTGGTTACCAGCTTGAGGCTCTGGAAATAGACTGAATGAATCTCACCTTTTTCCAACTTGAGTGGGCTTGGGCAACTACCTACAACTTGTTGAAATCTCAGTTTCTTTCTTTTTTTTTTTTTAAAATCTCAGTTTCTTTATCTGTGCCACAGGAGATTTTTCAAAATACAGGGTTAAAAAACGGTTCTTGTGAAGATTTGGTGCTATTATAGATGTAAACCGCTTAGCACAGTGCCTACCACAGTAATGCCTAATAAATGTTGGCTGCTATTCTACTACTTGAAAATGATTTAGAGAAAAAGCAAGGAAGAAGTAACATCTGCCTTTCTACAAAAATGTCTTTATTTTGGTTAATGGTTTTTAAAGTTTTTGAAGTGAAAATAAGTGATTTTCTAAACCTTTATGGCTGGGAAGTATTACTTTCCTTGAAAATGGTAACTCCTGTTTTGCTGACAAAATCAATTTTTAATCTGTAGTTACTTAACGAGTATAAAATATTAGTTTCAAAGTACATAAAGTATGTATGCATTTTTTTCTGTAGAGAGGTAGAAATATTTTCTTGTTGTCCCAAATTATTTTGTTGCTAAACCATTAAATAATATGGCTGTTGATTCCCTGTTTCTCAAGAATGAGACTTCAGTTCCCATATCTTTTGATTATAAAATTTATAGATTTAAAAAATGTATTCTTAAAATATTACTTGAAGTAGCTAGCAGATAAAAACTATTTTTACTTAAAACAATATACCTGGTACTTCATAAAGTAGAAAATTGAGGCACAAATACTTGCTTACATTACACACATGAGCAGTGATGATTTTAAATCAGCAAAAAGTTTTTATGATATGGCTGTTCTTACCATTTTTCTTCTTTCTCTTTAGTCAGAAATACCAATTTTAATTATTAAAAAGTCCAAAACAGGACCGTGTTATATTTGAAGGAGAAATACAAGATCCTGTTTTGTGATTAAAAATAAGTTAGTGGGTTTTTTTTTGGTTTTTTTTCAGTACTTGGAATTGAACTCAGGACTTTGCATTTGCCAGGAAGGTGTGGTGCTGCTGAGCTACATCCCTGGCCCGAGTTAGTGTTTTGATATTGAATTTCAAACTCATATGTAAAGTTGCATCCAAGAATTTTACAGTTAGCACATATATTTACTAAATTTAGACCACAATATAAATACAATGAAGTAATTCGTGGTTTACTAATTGCAAATTCATAATATAGTATTTTCAAAGGAAAGTCATATTCAAATGTTTTTTCTTGCCTTTGTTTTTTGTTGATAAAAATACAGTATCACGGATTGTAAGTTGTAAGGTAAAGTTTATTTTGGCTCTTGACCAAGATCAAGGGACTGCAGCTGGTGACAGTCTTCTGCTAGCAAAGTCGCAAAGTGTGACACAGCATCAGGTAGCAAGAGACAGGAAACAAGACCTACCCTCATGTGTATGTGTGCCTGTCTTCTGGTCTCTCTCCCTCTTTTTAGAAAGTGCACCCCGAGGACTGTCTAATCGTAATCGATTACCAAGTGTCCCACCCCTAACCACCATAGTCAGATTAAGTTTTTGCTCTCTTAATTCTTAACCATGGAGATTAAACATCAACATAAGCTTTGGAGGTGACAAACCATATTCAAACAACCACACCTAATATCTAACAATATTATTAAAGAGTTGTAGTCTATTCTGCAAACTTTTGTCCATTAAGATCAACCTGAATTATTTAAATTCAGTTTTAATAGTGCTACAGCAGTAAGGTATAGAGAAATCAAAAGAATTGTTAAAATAATTTCCAAGTTCAAAACCAAATATAATAATTTATATTGAAGTTTCCAGTTCTTCCCATGGCACCCTATTCTGTTCCTTTGGTATGGAACATGCTTGGGCCTCTTTTTTTACATGTCAAATCTTTATGTTCTTCTTGCCCCTGCTTTATTCTCAGACTTTCCCCAGCCTGGATAGTCTCATGTTGGATATGGTTAGTACTCTGCTTTCCTCCTAAAGCCCAAGTTTGTCTCAGTTTTAATAATGTGGTTATCTAATTTTTAAAAACTCTTGTCACTCACTTAATTTTTAAGTTCTGTCATGACAGGAACCAAAAGTGCCTTTTTTGCTGCTACATCTATACTAGTGTCAGGCAGCAGGTTAGAACCATTTGTCTAGGTTTGTAAGCCCAATAATTAATTTTATAATTTTGATTATCAAAGTTATTACAACTGTTAAACTCACAAGAAACTAATTGGTATGCCACAATACCGCTTTGAAACTTGTAAGAGGAAATGTACTAAGAACTGGATTTTATTTTTATCAGTACCCCATGTCTTAGTGTGTTAGATAAAATAATCACCAAAAAACCTCATGTTTCTGTACATTTCCTGGCCTGCAGTTAGGCTGGGATCACTTGATTAGTATTGGCTAGTGAACTCTGAGCAAAAGTAAATGTTATTTTGGGACTAAGGTAGTTAGCTAATGTGCTTTTTTTTTTCTCCTTTGCTATAACCACTTTGTAGACCACGTGTTCTAGTTGGCAGAGCTGTAAGAGGGAGAGGGACTACCTCACCAGGACTAGATTTACATGAGTAAGAAAAACCTTTGTTGTGTTTGGACATTGAGAGTTCAGGGGGTTATTCATGATAGGATAACCTAGCATTATCCTGATTAGTAAAATAGGGAACTTCCTCATAGTTTGTAAGCTTCTATTCAGAGAAATAAATTATAAATAAAGTTGCTTCTTGGGAAAACCTTCCATATTTGGACCTTTTTTTGGTTCTCTGTACTTCGGTTATGTAAAATAATAATTATGTTTTTTATAAAAATTATAAGAATAAGGGTTAACATGAAAATTTAAAACATGTAAGCAATTCCTACTCACTGAGATTCTTGGAGTACCAAGGAAATATTCATAATTCTTATTGAACCAAGAGTTTGGAATGATTTCTTCTACCTTCATATATTTGGTATCTTCTTGGTGAATAAGGATAATACAGATTGAAATAACCAACTTCTGTATATCAAGATCATATCAATCTTTTATTTTTTCCTGCCACTTATGTACTCCACAATTAATCTTTTAAGGTAGTTTATGCAATAAAGTGGATCTCTTATGAGTTAATGTTTTCTTAAAGTATTTTTCAACAGAATTATATTTGAGCACTTAACACTTTTGTTCAACATACTGTTAGTGTGTACAAAGATAAATGAGTTATATATCTTGTCCTCAGACTTTTATCATCTATAACCGAGCTGCTAACTCTTCACCAAATTTTTTTCCTGTCCTTTGTGGGCACACCTTCCCTTGTAGTTATGTGTCTACTGTGTGACAAAGTGGTCATGTATTTTTCCATTCTCTGTTCCCTTCAGCCAACTAGTCATTGATGCCCAAGGTTCACTTGGAGTCATGTGTTGAAGATGGAAGAGTTTCTGCAGGTCACTAAATGATTGCACAGAGCAAAGCCCACCCTTTTCCTGCAGAAGTGTTGGTGTTGGATTAATGTGTGGATTACAAATTCACTTCATATGTTAAGCCACTGAAAGTTTGGGGTTTATTTGTTACTGCAATTAACATTACCCTAAGACAGTTTTTAGTAGGACTGTAGCAATCCCAGAGTATTTAAAATTTCAAGAATGATTAATTTATGTCTTCATGAGTAAAACATCCCATTTGGAAGAACCATGGTTTTATTTAAAATAGTCTGCTAATTCTTAGTCTTGTTTTCATTATTCCAAATTACTCAACTCTTCTCTTAGCAGCCAGCTAATGGCTACTCTTGATTAAGTAGGTCCTTTGTTTATCCTCCTCCCTCCCACACCATTTTATTAGGTTACATTCTGTGTTTACAAGTCCAAAGAGCACTTACTCTTATTTATAAATGCAGTAGAATAAAAAAGGAGGAATAAATTTAAAATGTCAGCATAAAAGTATGTTATAGACAACTGACCTGGATTCTGGCAAGTCCTTGTTCTAAAAAGTGTTGTTGCCTTGAGAAATTTACCAACATATAAAAGCTACTCTGTATTCAACCTTCCACCTAAAGTCCAAGCCAGGCATCTAGTCATTCTTAATTCATGTCTCCTCACCATCTCACCTGTCCCTGGTCACCCTCAGACAAGGTCAGTTCAGTCTCCTAAATATCTTTTGAATCTTACTGCTACCATGCTCTAGTTTAGGTTTCAGTTAAGTGTCCTGGGATTGCAGCAGTCTCTTAACTACCTACTGATAGTCTCCCCATCTCCAGTCTTAATACTTCCATGCTATAGCCTGTTAGCTTTATTTCTTTTTTTTCTAATAAAAAAATTGTATTTACTTAGAAGCATTCAGAATGTCAACAAAACAGCTGCAACTTTTTTTTTTTTTGCAATTACAGAGTGGTATTCAGTTAACAGAACAACATTTCGTATAAAGCTGCATCAGAGACAACTGAAGATGAAAAACTACCGTCCCCATATATAACTAATTTGTGCTGTGCACCAACAAGAACCTGCTTTAAATTTCCATACCAGTTTACAACCCCCATACTGTACCAGGCAAGGTTAGTGGCTATTGAAATACTACCAGGACAGGGCTATCTAAAGACACATTTGGTAGCATGTTAAAAGCTTTCTAAAGTGCAAAACCCAGCACCTCATGCTTTCACTTTAAAATCCATAGTGACTTTCCCTTGTTCTTAGGGTAAAACCTAGTTTTTGTTTCCCTATACTAGGACTCAATCTCAGAACCTTGCATGTGCTAGGCAAGTGCTCCACCACTCACCCCTCAGCTTTTTTTTCAATACTGGAGATTGGGCCCTTGATCTTGTATGTACTGTACAAACACTCTATAACTGAGCTACATCCCCAGTTTTTACATTGTATTCTATTTCGAGCTAGGGTCTTGCTAAGTTGCTCAGGCTGACATCAAACCTGTGATCCTCCTACCCAAGTTTTCT